GCAGCCTGTGCGCGCAGCTCCCTCCCATCGCTGCTCTGGTTCTCTTAAGTCTTCGGATCTTCCCAGTAGGGGAGAGTGGAGTCCACCGCGGAGGAGGTGCGTTCTGTCCTGCACAGCCGGACCCCGGTTTGGGGCCGGGAATCGGAGTCTTAGTCTCCGTGAGTGAGAGTTCCCCTTGGTGTGTATTTGTTTCTGCGCAGGAAATTTCAGCCCAGAGACCGAGGGATCTGGGGCGTTGGAGCTTGCGCTGCACTGGCCGACAGCGGCACCCAGAGGCTCTGTGTGGAATTGCAGTTTATCTTGTTTAGAAATCTCTTCAAAATATATGTATTGCTCTGACCGTGCAGCTATGAAACAGCTGCAAATTTTAATCTCACTAAGGAATTACAGTGGATGCTTATGTATTTAATGATTTAAAATTATATATAAGTGGAAACTTATACCACATATGGAATATCATGTATTATGTTGTGAATCTTCACATACAGATCAGATCAACCAACTTCAACAGTGATGAACATAAGCCCAATCTTTGTTCAGTGTATATGGAGATTTTTGGTTATTCCGTAGCAAATAAAAAATGTATAGCGTAATTTAACACTTCTTTTTTTTTTTTCAAATAAAAGGAGACAAAACAGCAGTAATTTCATTTTTCAGCCTCTCTGTGTCCTGTAAAAGCACTGGAACTGAGCATTTCCCACAGTCTTCTCAGTCTTCAATCCAGTCACCTGTGCTGTGGTTTCATAACTAAGGGACAGTCAGGTGTGAAGTCATATGTCTTGCAAGCACAAGACAAGCTTGGGAGAGACATGGGACCCTGAACGAAAAAGCCAACCAAACCAAACCAAACCAAACCAAACCAAAAATCCCCTCACCCGTACTCCTGCAAGCAGCCCTGATCAAAACACACAGAAGACATGAAAGCAGGAGTGGGGACAGTCTGAAGAGTGGGAGTGGAGTGGAGTTAAAAGGTGATACATATATGTACATGTGTGGAAACGTCCTAATTGATATATGCTGATAGCCATTGAAGAGAGAAGTGATGTTTTGTGTAGACCCATCTACTTGCCGTGGTCATGTCACAGATACATACATGATGAGTATCTATGTTATTCTCTTTCCCCCAAACTAACATGCATTTACACTCATGATCTGAATATAGATATGACTCCTCAGAAGATAAATTCCTGTACTGCATTATTAAAAAAATAAGATCCTCAAAGCATATCTCCTATCAGCTTCAGGAAGACAGAGGGGCTTCTTTTGCTTCTTTTTTCAGATGCTGCAGATTGAACCTGGAGCTGTGCACAACTCCTCTATCCCTGAGCTATACCTGCGGTACTGAAAGAATGGCTCAAAGAGATTAAAATGTCTATATATCATATTATATATCCATAATTTATCTTAGTAGCAGCATGTAGACACATTAAACTTCTTATTATGTGCATACTTCTCTATGTCCATAGAAACACCAGCAGCCATCAATGTATCTATACAACACAAATTTAGAATAGAAAATATTTTCTTAGACATGGACCAGTTTGTCCTGGAACTCACTGTGTAGACCAGGCTGGCCTTGAATTCACAGAGATCCGCCTGCCTCTGCCTCTGCCTCCCAAGTGCACTACCACACCAGGCCATAGAATAGAAATTTGCAAGTTTCATTTCTTTCATTTTTTTTCAGACATCTGTTACTTGAACATTGACATTATGTTTAAAATCCAAGTTTTAAATTACTTTTCCTAGTAGCTAAAAATCCAGGAAAATCTTTTTAGAATCTTCCCCAGCAAGTCCTGAGAATAGTTTCTACCTTACATCCTATGTTCAGGTTCATTTCTACCCCCAGAGATTGAAGAGTTGAACTGGAGCCAAAATTTAAATTCCCCATATTTGACAAATCTTTAATTCCCCACATTAGCAACCACTCTTGAGCAAGCATACACTGAAAAGAAGAGTGTCAGGCTATTTTTCATAACTTTAACCCATAACATTAGGGAACCCAAGCCTTTAATGCTACTACCATAAGGAAGTTGCAATTTTCACCATTAAAATGAAAAAAAAAAAAAAAAAAGCTTTGCTGGGTTTGGAAATGATAGCTGACGCTTGACTCATCCTCAATAAAGGTCTTTAAATACAAATAGTTTCTACAAACTTACGGTCTGAATAGTTCATTGAGGTTCTTTCCCATCACAGAAATGGAAGTGTGAGGGCAGAGACTGTGGGTTTTCAGTCATTTCTCTAAGAGAAGGGCACGTTTTAGTTCACCTCTACAAAAGGATCCCTCTAGAAACTGTTTTAGGAGCAAGAGCTGCTGCAGTGAAGAGTGTTAGGAATAACGATCAATTAATGTTAAGAAATAACTCCAGCTGGAGAAATAGTAGAGGGCCACTGTAACCAACTACACAACTCTACCCAAACAGCCCCGTCCATGCAGATTAGATAATGTTAACTGCCCCATAGGCACAAGTTCCATAAAAAAAAAAGCGACAATCATATCAGTGACATCTGACCTACAAACATTTTAGATGTTGTGGGTGAAGATTAGCCTCAGTGAAAACTTGGGTGGTTACAAATATATAAACATCAACTTAGGTAAGACTTGAAGCAGAGAGCTAATTATCATGAATAATAAAGGGGGAACCTCCCCAAACTCACAGGGACCAAAGGAGTGTCATCAATAGGAAACTTGGGCTCCGCTGAGCTGCACAGAGGCTCGCTTTTCCCACAGCTCTCCTGGCTGAGGAGCGTGTCTGCGTAGTTGGGCTGGGGGAAGATGAGGTGGCTCTTCCCAGAGTCGGGTGTGAGGGAAAACTCTTGAGAATAGGTTTGTAGGAAAGTCTGAACCCCATGCACACCCACAATATGTGATGCTGGCACGCCAGTCAATTCACTGGTGGCAGCCCGCAGCAGGTGCGAAGCATGCCAGCGCCTCAGCCTGAGTGCCAGCAGCGCAAGCACAAAGAGTAGGAAGACGCAGGAGACCACGGCAACTGCCACCACCAGGTAGAGAGTGATGTCAGAGTCAGGGTCTGCCGGGGGGTTGATACTGCCCAAGTCAGCCAGGATGTCGGGGATGCTGTCTGCCACAGCCACTGTGAGGGTGATGGTGGCAGAAAGAGGGGGCTCCCCGTGGTCCTGCACAGCGACCAGGAGGCTCTGCTTGAGAGCATCTCTGTCCAGCAGGGCCCGAGCTGTGCGCACTTCACCCGAACGTAGCCCCACGGTGAAGAGTCCTGGTTCGCTGGCCTTGAGCAGCCGGTAAGAGAGCCAAGCATTCTGTCCAGAGTCCCTGTCCACTGCCACGACCTTGGTCACTAGATATCCAGGCTCTGCTGAGCGGGGAGCCAGCTCCACACCAGTGGATCCGTCCGTCGGGAGGGAGGGATACAGGATCTTGGGAGCATTGTCATTCTGATCCAATAGAAACACAGTCAGGGACACAGTGCTGCTGAGCGGCGGCTGTCCACTGTCACTTGCCTGCACCTGCATCTGCAGATTTCGAAACTGCTCATAGTCAAAGGATTGCAGAGCATAGAGCACACCAGTGTCGGAGTTAATGGAGATGTAGGAGGAGAGCGGTGCCCCCTGGAAGGTGTTTTCCACCAGAGAGTAGGTCACCTTAGCGTTCTCGCTGTCATCAGGGTCATGGGCAGTGACTGAGAAGATGGAGGTGCCTCTGGGGTTGTTTTCGGGGAGGTAGACTGAATACGAGGTTTGAGAGAAGGCGGGTGGATTGTCATTGATGTCAGCCACATACAGGGTGATGTGAATTTCTGCGGACATGGGTGGGGTTCCTCTGTCGGTTGCTGTCACTGTGATGTTATACTCAGAAGCTTCCTCTCGATCAAGAATCTGGGCTGTCAGCAGCCTGTAGTAATCATCTACCGAGTTTTCTAATTTAAAAGATGGGTTCTCCTGGATGGAACAGACAACTTGACCGTTCTTCCCCGAGTCTTGGTCATGAGCGTTGAAAAGAACGATTACTGTCCCCGGGGGCGCATCCTCCCTCACTGGGCTAAACAGAGATGTAATGGTCACTTCCGGCCGATTGTCATTTACGTCCTCTACCATAATTACCACTTTGGTACGCCCTTTCAGTCCCCCACCGTCTTCAGCCTGTATTTCCATCTCATACAATGAACATTCTTCATAGTCCAGATTCTTTGCTACTGTCATTTCTCCAGTGCTTTCATGAAGATGGAACAACAGCGACTGTTTGTCATTAATTTTCCGGAATTTATATGTCACTTTCCCATTGGCACCCTCATCCGGGTCGCTAGCTCTCACCGTGAGCAGCAGCGTGCCCGGGGCCACATTCTCAAGGACTTTGACGCGGTAAACCGGTTGGTCGAAAACAGGGGC